AAAAAAAAAAAAAAAAGACAAAAATGATAAACTTCATATTATGTATATTTTACCAAAACTAAAAATAAATTGTTCAAAAGTGGAACACAATAAAAAATAATTAAAAACAACAAAGCTTTCTTGTGGAAAAACAGGTGGCCCATGCTAGGGGCTGGTCTGAGTTGGAGACACAGGACCTGATCCTTTCCCAGGGAGATAGCCACACCCACTCTACACTTCTGCTGCCCAGAGGAGGGCAGTGAAACTGAAAGGGGCCACCAGCCCAGGTCTGCGTCCTCCTCAGGGGACCATGCCCAGTGGCCAAGCAGCGCTTGGCACCATCTTCACACACCTCTGAGGCTTATTCTTTTACCTCTGTTACAAACAAGCAGGTAGGGGCTTGGAGGGGCCCTGGCAATTTGCCGAAGTACAAAACTAATCGGAGCCCAGGTGACCCCCACATTACGGGGGTCCTGTATACATACTATGTTCACTAAACAGTAAGCATGAGGGGAACTCAAATGTCCACAAATGTCCTTAAGAGGAAAATAACTAAGAGTTCCCTACAGCCATCATTTCTGCCGCGGCACTCGGGAGGCTTCCTGATCACTCTTACCTTCGCAGCTTATCTAGCCAGTGGCCTCTGACTTCCCCAAGCAGGTGGGTATCTGCCAAAAACATGACTTTCAGCACAGGCACAAGAGTCGCTGGTTTGCTGCCATGGGCTGGAGTTGTCACCGCAGGCCAATCACACCAAAAGATCACTAAGTAATAGACTAAAAATTCACAAAACAGAAGCACTGCCAAGACAACAGCTATAAGTTTCAACAGCAAAGAACTCCTCCTCTTTAACGGACGAAAATTCCGCCTTCCAAACCCCAGTCTGATCACAGCCATTTCTCCTGCCCCGGAGCTGCCCAGCAACTAAGAGTCAAATCCATCAAGACGTCACCGTGAAAAACTGTGAGACGGGGACAGAGGGAGAGGCATCCAGGTGTACCTACGAAGAAAAGGAAAAGAAGTGGGTCACGCTCCTGAGTATCAGCAGTGTCACCACCTCCCTCTATCAAGGTATGCTCCCAAGTAAACTGCCTTGTGCTTTTACAGTGGTCATACTCCCGAGCACTACCAGGATACCCTGACCCCTTCCAGGTCTCCACACCTCCATAGGACAGAATAATGCTATTAGAATGACCTTCCCGCTGAGATAATGAAGTTTTATTAATACTCTCGAAATCATCAAATAGGAACCCATTTGAAGGGTGTTAAAAGAGGAGATATAATAAAGTTCAACAGATATTGTGGAAGTATAATTCAACTCCCAAAATGACTTACCACCCCCTTCCACAACCTTAAAATTCAAGAGGTCATAAACCCACTGTGATATGTTGTCTTTGGTATGAATTTATCACTTTTCTACTCTGCTTTTCTGTAAAAGGAGTGAATATTCATGGACAATGTCACAAAATCCAAGGAGTTCATTCCATGCTGGACTTAGGGTGAGGGTCTGGCAGAGAGCTATGCCTGTGAATGGAAGCACTGAAAACTGCAGCCAGATGGCCACAGAGAGGCTCTGCCCCGCACATCTGCTGTGGAATGTGAATAGCCTTCTTTTATAAGACCTTTGTGTGCAATGGCTTCTCTGTGGGAACCTTCAAAATGTTTATGCAGTCATCCCAAATCTTAGATGAGCTTTTGCATCTTGTAAGAAAGCATCTATTTTTGAGACCTCTGAAGAGAAAATGTGATAGAGGCTGCCCTAAGATGGACAGTCTGAGGCTGTGTTCTACTTCCAGGTTCCTTGATTTGTGCTCAGATAAGGACAGCGACCTTCCCCAGGAGGCTGCAGAGAACTCAGACAGCAGAGAAGGCCTGGAAGTCTTATGGGGTAAGGGTTAGGGAAGGGACTTTCTAGAGACCCTAACTGAGGAATAAAGAAAATCTGGCCAGGCATAGTGGCTCCCAGCACTTTGGGAGGCTAAAGTGGTAGGGTCACTTGAGCATGGGAGTTCCAAGCCACGATGAGGCCACTATACTCCAGCCTGGGTGACAGAACCAGACCCTGTCTCCTAAAACAAAAAGAAAAGAGGGAGGGAGGGAAGGTTTCCCTTCATTAAAAAGGGAAACCAATGTTAGAATCTAAGTGTGTCCTTCAGAGGGAGAGGTCAGAGGCAGCCAGCCTTCCCCAAACTCTAGAATCAACAGCACTTATGAGAATTCTCTGAGAATCCACATCCTCCTCAGCTGGGTCCCCCAGTGGACACAGCTATACTTCATCTCCATTTATAACTACCTCCTCATCTCTGTTTTCTCTAAGGTGCCACTAACCAGAAACACCATAATGCTTTTATCTTCCAGCTGGAGACATCTTTGAGAGTAAAAAGTGACGCTGACAATAATAACAACAGGACAACAGTGTAAACCAGGACTGTCCCGGGCAACTGGAGACATGCAGCTATGCTCTGCACAGCTCTGCCCCGTGTTGCCCGTCTGCCCTGATGTGGGCAGGAGGAAGCAGCAGAACTTGTCTCTTCACCCACCTCACGTGTGGCCAGACTGCAGTTAACTACACAAATGCAGCACCACGCACTAGCAGAGCAAGGGCTGGGCTCTCCTCTTGGCTGACATTCATAAGAGCAAAAAGGAGGGCCCGTCATGCTGGCTCATGCCTGTAATCCAAGCACTCAGGGAGGCCGAGACAGGTGAATCACCTGAGCTTACAGGTTCAAGACCAGCCTAAGCAAGAGTGAGACCCCTCCCCATCTCTACTAAAAAGAGAAAAACTAGCCAGGCATCGTAGCAGGTATCTGTAGTTCCAGCTACTTTGGACGCTGAGGCAGGAGGATTGCTTGAGCCCAAGAGTTGGATGTTGCTGTGAGCTGCAATGACACCATGGCAGTCTACCCAGGGTGACAGAGTGAGGCTCTGTCAAAAAAGAAAGACTCTAAGGTAAGGTGACCAGATTTTAACATTAAAGTGGGACACCACTGACAGGGGGCAGGGCTATTGGCTGAGCTGTTTAGCTGTTAATGGTTAGGGACCCTGGAGGGGGGGGAGGGGGACACTTGTTTGTTCCAGACAGTTTGGCTCCTTCTGAGCTAATTGTCCTTGCCTAGAATCGGGGGAGGGAGCCAGTATCCTTCCAATACCACCTGAGCAACCTTGCCCAGAAGGGGAGTAGGAAGTTGACATTAGCCTTTTCATTTCCAAATGAAGTTACATTAACCTCTTCATTCCCAGATGGAGTTACATTAACCTTTTCAGCAGCCAAAAACCGTATATTCCCTTCCCGTTCTCCCGCCCATCCCTAGCTTGTTGTGCATTCTTTCCAAAAATCGGGACTTTTTTTAAATGCCGCGGGACAAATTGTTAAAAATCGGGACTGTCCCACCAAAAGCGGGACGTCTGGTCACCTTACTCTAAGAAGTACTGACTACGCTCCTCAGAGCCATTCAGTTTCCTTTGTTATGATTAAATAGCAATATCCAAGGTAAATGTTTGACAGATAGATACGTTGTTTTCTTTCAAAAGGGCTAGAATCTCCCCAAATCCGGAAAGTTAAGCCCAAAACAGCAGTTGAAACTTCCTAAAACTTTTTGTTTCCTCAAACTGTAAAGGACTAGCTGAGAGGGAAGGATCCAGCTTCCCTGGGTTGGGCTGCAGAGTCTGCAGAGTGCAAATCTGTGCAGTCTTACAAAGGTCTCCAGCTCCCAGAGAGGAAACGAATAGAAAGACAACTTGTCCTTGCTCCTTCACACCCACTTCCTTGTAAAAGAGGGAAGCCTGCCGGGCAGCTATGACTGTAAGCAGCTCTGAGAACAAATTTCAATGACCCCTATGTTTTTCTAGAATCCTCTCCTTTTGAAATGTTTCCCAGAAATGCTGGATTTTCTGCAAGACAAAGGAAATGAGATTCTGAAGGCCTCTGGGCAGATACCAAGACTCACCAGCCCACAACCTGCCCCAAAGCACACGGCCCCCCCTGTAAACAAAATCCATGTTAGAGAGATGGATTTGAAGCTGCTTCTCCAATTCTCCTGACAAGACAGAAAAAATTCCTATTAAATTTTAGGTATTTTTTCGTATTAAAAATTTCTTCCTTCCTTGGCAAGACTGATTGTCTCAACAGATGGTTCTTTGTACAATCAGCAACTAGACTAGTGACTAGCAGCAGATTTGCTGGCAACTAGGCTGAAACCCCCTCCGGGTGTCAACAACATGTCCTCATAGGCCCAGCCCAAAGCGGGGTACTATGGCGTCTAAACACAAAACTGGTCCTCTGGCTTCCCTGGACTGAAAGAGCAGTCAGAGGACATAGAGACAGGCTGAGGGTTTGCACTTCAGGTACCTTGGGCCCCCAGCCTGGCCCCCACATAGCTGGTATCTGCAGGTGCTGTTGCAGTGACAGACATGTGAGCCGTGGTACAGAAACCACACCACCACCAAGCCAGAGGCTGGGGAGCTCTGGCCCTTGCCCCAAACTTCTGTGTTCTTTTTCCCAAAAAGAAATAACAGAGCCACTCAACCAGAAGAAGACTTGGAAAGAAAGAAGGAGGGAGCAAAGCAGGGAGAAGGCAGGAAAGGAGGGTCGGTTGGGAGAGCCTGTGTGCAGCTATTCTGACCACACCAGACCCTGAGCTCCCTGATCACACAAGTTGCTGGCAAGTCACTAGCCCGGGAGCCCCCAAAGATGGATTAAAGTGGGCTCACCTTTCTGTGATAGCAGTTCACGATTAATCTTCATGGCCTGACCTCAAGACAGTGCCAGTCACGTACAGGGTTTTTGAAGATTACACTACCACTGGCCCATAGGTGCCCCCTCCAGCCCTGTCTGTGGAGCAAGCTCTGTTATCTGTCCCCGTCTCAGTAATACTTTCCTATACCTCACTGGCGGACTCTTGAGTCATAGCCATCCATACAAGTTTGATGTTATAAAAGTATAGATATGCCAGAATTTAACTAGTTATTGTTCCCTAACTTCCTTGCTGCTGTAATTGGTCACTGCTTAATGGCACCAACCTCCTTGACAGGCCAAGATTTGTGAGCCGTGCACTACTCCTATGGATGACACTGCTGTGCTTAAACCTCAAACCTGTGACTCTATAGATGACACTGACATGGTCAACTGGAAGACTCAGCTTTAAGATATTTTTCAGACTGCATTCAAGGGACCCATTGACCCAGTTGGACCTGTGTAGGAAGGCCGTCTCCCACAGCCTGGAGATCCCTGCTCAGGAGACCTTTCAACTGGAACACTAAAGGCTGCATCTCAGTCCCACAAGCTCATCCCCAGTAATCTGCAATCCAATTCTCTAGCCCTCTGTTTACCAAACCACCTTTAAGAACTTTAGCCCTGGGCTCGGTGTCTGTAGCTCAGCAGCTAGAGTGCCAGCCACATACACGGGAGCTGGCGGGTTCAAATCCAACCTGGGCCTGCCAAACAACAATGACAACAACAACCAAAAAATAGCTGGGCATTGTGGCAGGTGCCTGTAGTCCCAGCTACTCGGGAGGCTGAGGCAAGAGAATCACTTAAGTCCAAGAGTCCTAGGTTGCTGTGAGCTGTGATGCAACAGCACTGTACCGAGGGTGACTCTGTCTCCAAAAAAAAAATAATAATAACTTTAGCCCTGAAACTCTGGAGGAGATGGATTTAAGAAATTACTCCCACCACCTTGCAAAAATAAAAACTCTACCCACTGCAACCCCTGCTGTCTCACTGAGCTGTACCTGAATGTTTTCCTGGGAAGAAAAAAACACACTTGGCAAGTCAGCAGGATTTCTTCCCTTTGTCAGGACACCCCTGCATCAGGAGGGAAGAGGGAAAACAGAGGATAAAGAGAGAGAGAAAGAGAGCTCCTAGAGACTTCCTTGAGAGAACCCTAGCACCATGCTAATTGGCTCTCTGGTATAAAGTGATCATTTTTTAAATTAACAGAATAAAAAACAGGCTCGGCGCCTGTGGCTCAAGTGGCTAAGGCGCTAGCCACATACACCTAATGTGGCGGGTTCGAATCCAGCCCAGGCCCGCCAAACAACAATAACGGCTGTAACCAAAAAAATAGCCAGGCGTTGTGGTGGGTACCTGTGGTCCCAGCTACTTGGGAGGCGGAGACAGAAGACTCGCTTGAGCCCTGGAGTTGGAGGTTGCTGTGAGCTGTGATGCCACAGCACTCTACCCAGGGGGACAACTTGAGGCTCTGTCCAAAAAAAAAAAAAAACCAGAATAAAAAACAATATTTAGAAAACTTCAAATGCCAGATCATTAAACTGAATTCATTCCTTTTCCTCAAATCTTGGGAAACTCCTTTTCTTCTTCTACCTATAATTTATTGATTTAGTATTCCCAAGGGTCTGAGGTTGGGAATACTAAATCAAGAAAATTTAGGTAGAAGAAAAAAATGATGGGAAAATGTGTTTAACCCTCTCTCTCTTTCTCTGTCCTTCAATGTTATGGCCAAAACATTCCCCTTTTTCCTCCTACAATGAAGACAATTAATTCGATTAATTTGTAGAGCTAATGGGATGGGAGTGGTCCCAGAAATGGCACCAACAAGGCCAGCATACCATTCAAAGGCGCTCAGTAGGTTACATCCCTCCTACCCAGCGGCTGCTTCCCAGTGGGCACAGACTGACCTTATTTAACCCACTTGCAGACCAAGCAGCCTCACTCAATCCTGACACAGCTGAAGGAAACCTGCCCACCGCCAGCAACCACCACGGCCTCAAACCTCAAACCTCAAACCGCTCAAGTGATCCTCCTGCCTCAGCCTTCTGAGTAGCTGGCGCTACAAACACAAGCCACCACACCTGGCTAATTTAAACTTTTTTTTTTTTTTTGCAGTTTTTGGCCGGGGCTGGGTTTGAACCTGCCACCTTGGGAATATGGGGCCAGCGCCCTACTCCTTGAGCCACAGGTGCCGCCCTAATTTAAACTTTTTTTTATAGCAACAATGTCTCACTGTGTTGCTCAGGTTGGTCTCAAACTCTTAGGCTCAAATGATTCTCTCCAGCCTTGGCCTCTCAAAGTGCTAGTATTATAGGCATGAGCCACTGTGTCCAGCCAACATGGCTCTCTTGAGAAAAGCAAATCCTCCTATGTCAGAATTAGGTCTGAAGGTAAACATTAGCAGCCAGTAAGACCTAACAGGCTGGACTCAGTGATAATCAATTCATAAAGTTATGGGCGATCAGGGAGCAGGAAGACAGCAGGAAATGAAAGATGGCAGCTGATGCCCAGTACTCTCTGTTTGTTCAATGAGCTATGCTAAGTCACCATTCCCTTTCCTCACCAGAAGTAAACCTTAAACTTTATTTCAACTATAACAGTAAGTAGGCACACAGCCAGAATAAGTAAATGTTACTACTCTCCCCTCCAAGTCCCAACTGCCACAGGGAAAGGACAGAGAATGTGTTCTTAGACAACATGAAATGGGTTCTCATCACAGCAACATGAGGCCCCACACCTGAGCCTGAATGCGCCATCTCTTCCTGCTCACTCATTACATGATGAGAAAATGTGTTTAACCCTCTTGTACAACCAGACTGTGAAAATAAAAACCAGGAAACTTGGATAAGGTCTACATTCTATGTGGCTGTCCTTCCTGTGATTGAATGATGAAAAATTCTGTCCATACCATGTATTAGGGGCTTTCCTTTGCATTAGCAGGTTTGGGTTTAAAAATTAAAATGACTAGCAGGACACAGTGGCACATCCCTGTAATTCCAGCTATTTGGGACGCTGAGGTGGAATTTGAGCCCAGGAGCTCAAATCTAGTCTAGGGAACATAGCCAGTCTTCATCTCTAAATAAACAAATAAAATGGAAATTACTTAAATGATTTCTTTTTCACTCCCCAAGTACAATCTGTCAGTTGTATTAAGATTCTCAACTGATGACCCACTAGAAGACTATCTAGCCTCCACAGGCTGTACTAAGACCCAAAGGTAGACAGACCCGACTTTGGAACTCACAGATGTGTCCATAAAACAAAGAAGGTAGGTTAGATACCATAGTAGCTCTAATTTTCCAGGAGAATCAGAGTCCCCTCACCTTTTAAAGAATGTATGCTGCTGGTGAACTGAGGCTGATCTGATGGCTATGCATTGATCCACTCTCCTAAGTCAGAATGTATTTACCTAATATGAAACAGAAAATATGTGTTTTGTTGCTGAATGATCTTTTATTTAGTGACTTATTGACAAGTAACCTGACCAGACTTGAAAGCAAAAAAGAATCTGAGAAGCTAAAGAAAAATGACTTTGTGTTATTGTTCAAGAATAAGTCTTTTATTTTTTATTTACTTATTCATTTTTTACTTCTACCCCTGTGTCAACCACTTCCTCTGGGCTTTGTGTCAACTCCTTCAGAATATTAAAATTGTTTCTACAGCCTTTTCAGCTCAGACCTGAGTTGTGGCAGTGGCCTCCCAGACAAGGTTGGCATTAGTTGGGGCAGGTGGTGTTGGAATCTGTCTCTCACTATTTTCTCTTTATTTATTAATTTACACAAATAGGAAGACTTGACAAAAACCAGATTGGTCTGAATAAGCTTGTATACGTGCTTTTCTTTTCACCTCTTCCCAGATTTCGGGAGACTGAGGTCTTCTATAGTTCCGGATCTATTAGTATAGAGTATAAATGTCTTAACACAGTAATTAAGTAAATGAGATGAGGTACATATTAACAAGTGTGATGTAAGCGTTCCTAATTCTATATGAAATCAGCACATTGTACCCCATAAATGCATTAATGTATACATGATCTATGTGTTTATGATTTAATAAAAATAAATAAATAGGCTCGGCGCCTGTGGCTCAAGTGGCTAAGGCGCCAGCCACATACACCTAAGGTGGTGGGTATGAATCCAGCCCAGGCCCGCCAAACAACAATGCCGGCTGCAACCAAAAAATAGCCAGGCGTTGTGGCATGCACCTGTGGTCCCAGCTACTTGGGAGGCTGAGGCAGGAAGACTCGCTTGAGCCCAGGAGTTGGAGGTTGCTGTGAGCTGTGATGCCCCAGCACCTTACCCTGGAGGATAGCTTGAGGCTCTGTCTCAAAAAAATAAATAAATAAAACTGGAGATGAGTCTGCTGGGAGCCCTGCAGAGTGAGTCTGGGGAGCTGTAACTGCATCAAGTAGCTTTGGCAGCCAAGCAGGATCCCCTGCTGACTTGTCAAACTCTGACATGGACATTAAGATTAAGATAATAGCATGCCTAACACAGCTAATGAGAAAGATTTAAAACAATTGGCAGAAATAGATTGAGTTAAGAAATGCTTATTATGGGTAATGATTCTGTGTCATGGAAGCAGCCTATGGGGTCAGCTTGACTTCACACAGTTACAAGGGGAGAGGAGCTTCCTTGATGGCAGAGAGGGGGACGGAGCTGGCAACACTGTGCCCTAGTGCTAAGGCAAGCAGGTGCCAGCTCCCTGAACACACCCCTTTACTTATGATGGCCAGTTTGCAAAGAGATATACAGGTCACAAAAGCACCAGGTCATGTGCTATGTCTTGGACGTTGGAGGGACTACACCTGTAACCAAATACCCTTAGTAAATTTTTCTACATCTAAGAACAGTCACCTCAATCTTCCTTCTTTCCAGCTCAGGGAGATCAGCAATATGACAGTTGTCTTTCTGTTTATATTTCCAGGACAAGAAGAGCACAGTTTCACTCAGAGGGAATCAAGGACCTTTTGGGGTCTAGGGGTGGGACAGCATGCTGCATGCAGCTCCACCCCATCCTGCTCCCCTTTCCCATCTAGTGCTTCTCTGTGTGGCTATCTAGGGTTGTCAGTGCAGTAGCTGCCCCTGCACAGTGAGCCCCTTGCCCAGTATGGCTGTGTGCTCCAGGCTGGCTCTTGCCCCTCCCCAAGAGACACCTGGGCCTGTGGTATGTGGTTTATAGGTTGGAGCATGAGAAGAGCTTGGCTGGTATTCACCCCATATTTGTCATCCATGTAGACGAAGGAGCCACCTGAAAGCCCAGGGACTTTCCTCAAGGCCTTCAGCCTTTTCTTCTGCCCCAAGAATAAGTCTTTTAAATTATAAAATACCTGTATTTGTAGTGGCACCTGTAGCTCAAGCAGCTAAGGTGCCAGCCACATACACCAGAGCTGGCAGGTTCAAATCCAGCCTGGGCCTGCCAAACAACGACAATTACAACCAAAAAATAGCCTGGCATTGTGGCAGGCACCAGCTACTTTCGAGGCTGAGGCAAGAGAATCGCTTAAGCCCAGGAGTTTGAGGTTGCTGTGAGCTGTGACGCCATGGCACTCTACCCAGGGCAATAGCTTGAGGCCTGTCTCAAAAATAAATATAAATAAAAATAAATAAAATATCTGTATTTGAATACAAAATATATATAAAATAACACTGTTCTATAACTGCAATCCCTAATTGGGAGCAAAATATTTTATCTTTGAAATTTTTTAATTCAAAGCTGTCCTTAAGTATCTAAATCCCCCTCCACAATAGTATACAAAATTTAATGTGCGCTGGCCTACCGTTTTTTCCTCTTGTTCATTATCTTTAAAACATGTATTACTACGATGGCAGTGTGCATTTTAAATTTTGCATCTGAAGTGGTATTTTTAAATGATAAGATGCATTTTTTTCAATCTACATTAGTAAACTCGAGACCCCTACAATTTAATACTCGGACCTGAAGTAATTGAGATTTTCCAACGAGCAAATGAATTCCAGAATGCTGTTTTTTCCATAAGCCTATTTGCAACCCTAAAAGGGCAAGGTTTCATTTCGCAGAAGAGACAGCAGGTAACTAGAAGTTAAAATGTAACCCGGGCACCAGAATACCTCAAAGGCCACGCTCCCCGAGTCCTTTCAGTTGTCCGTGGGGTTCCCCGGCCTGGCCGGCGAGGGACCCTGCGCCCTGCGCCCCGCGCCCCGCAGCACAGCCTTGCCCCGCGCCTTTCCTGTTTCCGCAGCGGCCCGAGACCCCGCCCTGCCCGCCCGGGGAGATCCAGAACCAGGGCTGTGGAGTCGGAGGGCAGGTGGCCCGCGACCCCTAGGAGGACGCCGCAGATGGGCCCCGCGCAGAGACAGATACACGTGAAGGCCAAGACATACGCACGGCAGCGTCGCCCTCACCTCCTCGGTGCTTCGCGCCGCCGTCCCGATGGCGCTTCCGCAGCTGTTCCTCAGCCCGAGTCCCTAGTGCTGTGGCTGCCCGGGACCCCCGGGAAGGGGCTGCAAAAGGGCACAGGCAGTACGGAGGACGAACGAGCGAGACCGGACGTTGAGACCCAGGGTAAGCCAGTTGCAGGAGGGCTGGCGTCGCGCGGCGTTGCGCATCCTCCCCGGAGCGGCCGCGGCGCTCTGCGCCCGGTGCTCGGCCCGGCCCACCCTGCGCTCGCCCCGCCCTGGCC